TTACTCTCTAAAACTAACACGCCAGTAATTAGGCATTAGTTTCTAAATTTTGGCAAAGAATGCCCCGTTTTTTGTTGGCTGTTAATATTATATATAAAAGAAATTATGAGTGCTGTCAGCACAGAGCATAATAGTATCAGCAATTTTATTATGCTGAAGTGTACGATGTGTTTCTTACCTATTTACAAACAATTCCTTAAAATTTTAATCATTGATTGCATACATCTATTAAAAAACCATAATGGCCGACATCAGTGACAATGCGGCAACAATTGAAAAAGAATGATGGCCGACAACTGCAACAATTAGAAAAGAATGATGGCCGACAACTGCAACAATTAAAAAGAATGATGGCCGACACTACGTCATAATGGAGCAATAAAAATGGCCGGGGCAAGAGGAAGAACTAGTAATGTATATATAAAGGGCCATTTTCAAAGAGTTTATAACTATTACAGATTATGATTATAGATTCTTTGATAATGGTCTTTGATTCAAACAGTTGTAGAATATTATTAATAAGATTTTCAGTTGAATCCTCAATTCAAAACTTGAAATGCATTAGGTACCTATAGCATTTATATTTTGAAAAAAAAAATTAACTATATTTGGTGCTTAGTAAAGTGCAATCCGTTTTAGAAAATTAAATTAAAATGCCAAAATATAAATAATCGATTAAAAAATTGAATTAAAATTACAACAAAAATATATATCCTGCTTTTGTGATCCTTCAAGGACCCTTCGCTTTTATTTATCTATGGAAGTTTCTGTTGTGTACATGTATACTATAGAGGGTATGTAAGTATGTATACAACAGTCGGAACAGCTGATTGAATTATAAAAATGTCGACTACTGTCAACAAAGTTATTTTTGCATTTAATTTTCGTCGCGCCCCATGAAAATAGATTAAACAGTGATATAAACTAATTAATAGTAGTGAACTAGTTTATTTAAAACATTAATTCTGGTTAAATTTAAGTGACAACTGTAGATAATCATGAAAATTGAAGTTATTCAAATCATCCTTGCAATTATTTTGTATCTAACAATTTGCACTTTATCGAATAAAACTGAAACTCAGGAATGTCCAGATTATCGTATACAACATGGAGATATTGATCACGGTTCCTTTAAAATAGTAGACAGTGGTGACNTATGTGTCTATATCTACTAAATTTTATAGGGAGACCATAGCAAAGATAAAATAAAAACACCTACATAACGTGCAGGTATTTACTTCAACAATTTGATCATAACTGCATTTCATAATATTTGCTTTTTGTAAAAAATTCAATCCCACTATAATCCCATTAATGTACAATAAGTGACTTGTGGGTACTTTTATTATTTTCTCAAATTTATATTTATGATATTTGTGGGTTCCTTATAATAAGTAACTTAATTTTGCTCTGTAATTTAAGTAAGTTCTAAATCGATAAAAAACACAAAAATCTAAAAATAGCAGATAGACATCTTATACATTCTAAGTGCTTATTATGAATTTTCATTATAACTTTATTTAAAATTCCCAAATGAGATATAATTTCAAGCGCTAGTTCTTAAAAACGTTTTCCGTTTGAAGAGTTAGATTCGTCGGTTGCCCTGGCGACAACAAGCTGCTCGTCCTCTCCGATAAAATAACTCAATTATTTGAAAATAATTATTTTTTTTCATGCTCGTCGTTTAGACCTAACTGCAAATAGCTCTTGTCGAGCTTTTCAATTTCACGTCCAATTCATAACGAGCTTATGGAATTTCAAGTTGTTAGAAGCTGCTTGTGGCCAAAGCTTCGAATCGATATCCCGGGAATTTCATATAATGAAGACTTCAAGCAAGCAGGGCATCCTTTCTGCTATTTAATCATAAAGCAAAATATTTCTAGGGAATGTCATAAACAGTTTAACCGTAGTGCAAAATTTATTTCAGAGCTTTATAAACGCTTCACTATTCAGGTCATTAATCATCTTCATACTTACTTACATCACCTTTAACGGATGAATCTATATTAAAAAGAAATAATTCATATTCATCTTAATTTAAAACAACCAACTAAATATTTAAAAAAAAGTGGTATTTGCAAAATTTCTTGTGACACTTGCTATGCTTGTAATACAATGGGGAAGATTCATTAATATCAGAATTGAAGAACATTTAATTAAAAAACATCGACAAAAAAGTCACAAAAATTAAGGTTTTCAGAACATTGTTCCTTTCTGAAACCACCACCTAAATTTAAC